AAATGGCAAAGTTCAGTTTCAGTCCATGCTTGGGCTTGTTTCCTTTTCACATTCCCTTCCAATGTCTCACATTTGATGTCTATTTAATAATATTTGCCCACAATGACTGAGAACCCCAAATTTCCTTTCAGAGCTGAGAAAAATCTCTAGCAGTTAAATTTTTCCTGTTTCTATTGTTTGTTCTGCATTTAAAATTCCTTCAGACCTATCTTGGCACCTTGATATTAGAGAGCAAATTGCATTATTCCAGTTACTGCCACCTTCCCCACACCCTTGGGCAATGTCAATCTACATGGATTGACTAAAAGCCCTAAAACCATCTCAGCCCTATAACTGCCCGATGACATAACACTGTTTGCTGTAGAAACACGTAGATTTTTCACACATTCATATATTTTTTCCCTCCTAAATATTTAAAATATTTCATGTTTCTACTTTGAATAAAATGATGACATCAGTTCCTCATGCTCAGACAGATGCTCTGTTACATGTATTTCTGTTGAATTTGATTCTGCCCAGCCATACATGAACTGTTGCACTGAATGTCCATTAGTAGCAGAAAAAAGGGAATTTTCACTGTTCACCAAAGGTGGTATAAAAAAAGCAGCTGAAATAGTTGCATGTTCCAGGCTGAGCCTGCAGAGAAGGCTGTGGTCATTTTAAAAATTACCATCCTCAACCAAAACTTCCAGAGACTTTAGATTTTACCCATCAAAACACAGTGGTAATTCAGCAGCAGTTGAGAGAAGCCCAACATGAAATGGAGGTGTAACATAAAAGGGACCCAGTTTTCTGTAAAGAAGCTCACTCAGACCTCAACTGAGATGCTGCATTAGATTCTCCTCTTATTTCTGTCTAACAGTGATTGTCCATTTTAGAAATGCTCTATCTACAACTGCTGTCTCTTGACTCCTAGAAACAAAGGCAGTCTGACCACAATCCTAGCACTTAAAGAAATATTTTGTTGAACATGTGCATAATCCTGGAGTGCTGAAAAGTGTTCACACAGCACTACCATGGCTTCTCAGCAATTAAACACAGGTACCTGGAGCCTCCTCATGGCTTCAGAGTCGTGATCAGCCTTCACTTTGCAAGCCACCAGCAGCTGTGCTGTGGAAGCTGCCACTTGTTTGGCAGATGAGATGAGCTTCTCCTCACTGGCATGGCCTTGCACTGAGGCATTTGCTGCTTCACAGAGATTGCTGGTTGCAGCTGCCACCATTCTGGCCTAGAAGGCAGCAAAAAAAAGCCACTGGGTATTCTCACAGGGTATTATGTCTTCAGAGAATGTGCCAGTTTTCTCAAGAGAAGCAGTTACTCACAGCAGAAATAAGTCCCTGAGACCACTGTCCATCATCAGCTGCATTTGCAGGGATTGCTCCAACCTGAAAAAACAGTTCAGAGATGGCTTACAAGAAAACAGAAAATACAATTGCTCTGTCTCACACACTCAGTAATCCATGAAAAAAGGAAACACCTGTACCTGTGACTGTGCCCAGCACATTCAAGAGCAGAAAATCCAACTGGAAGTCAGTTGGCACAGTAACAGTGCTTGCAGCACACATCTGCCTGCTCAGGAAGTGTCCAGCTTACTGTGCTGCTTCAGCTGACCCATTCTTGGAACACAAAGGAGTAATTACAGAATAACCAGTAATTAGCAGACTATGGTGGCTGAAACCACAGCTGAAGCAGCAGTTCCTTAAGCCCCAGGCTTTAAAATAACTTACTTCTGTCTCCATAATACATTTGAATTGACATTATTCTTTCATCTCTTCTGATTTGGGAAGGTACAGAAGATCAGAAGGTTTCACAGGGAAGCCCCCACGTGCCCTCATGCCCAATAATGGCACTTCAGGAGAGCAGCTCACTTTTCTGCATGGCTTTTCCACTGAAGCATTCATGGCATCAGCAGCACCAGCAACAATCTGGGGACAGTTTTCTTCCCATATTGGATGAAAGCAATGAAGCTAAACCCTAGAGTTGGTTGCCAGACCCACATCCCCACAGCTGCATGGGGCTGGGTGGTTTTAGGAGAGAAGCTCCAAGATGTGAAATGTAAACATGGTCCAGAAACTTGTGTTTTAAAAGAAATGTAAACAGGCATTCGAGCATAATGAGAATTCCAGGGAATGAAATCAAATCATTAAGTACAGCATCAACATAAACAGAAGATATGTTCTCTCATGGCTGTGGTGACACTTATGCAACTAAAAAAAATCAGTTATATAAAAACCCCCAAAGTATTTAGGTTTCAAGTTTTTCTTGCCTCACCATCCCCTGAACAGATATGTTTAAGCAGACCACAGATGAAGTGCTTGTTGGTCCTGTTAGAAACAAAAGCACAAACTTTCCAGAACTGGGCTGAAGAGACAGCAGAGCCTGATTGTGGGAGCCATGACAGAGCCTGCTCTGAGTTAGCAGTCAGGTGAAAATGGAAACCAGAGCTGTACAACAACAATGGTCCTATAATAATTGTTCTCACAGGCAACATAGCTGGCTGATGTTTAGATTTTATCTTTCAGAGTATACTGACTGTGAAAAATAGTGATGGATGTGAAATGATGCACAAAATCTCAATTCTGATCACACCAAAAGGATGCCAAGTGCTGCAAAGACTCCTTCCATTGATTGCAGCAATAACTACAAGCATGGCCACTGAGATGTCCTGAATTGACATGCAGGCCTGTGCCCCACTGAATCACAAGACACTGAGGGCACAATTACTGAGGCCTTCTGCTGTCCTGGCCAGAGCAGGATTGGACAGGGGGACATTTGGGTTTGGATCCCCAAACTGTTGTGTGGGACTGTACATTACAGCTTCAATCACAGATCTTCGTGAAGGGAAAAAGCCCCACAGCAAAACTCCCCACAGCTGAGTAATTTGAAGAGTCAAGCACTTGATTACACCTGTGAGGTTTAAATCAATGTAACTGTGGGATTTTTTAAACAGAACCAGGCCTGGGCCATGTATTGTGATGAACAGTGAACAATTTACATTTTCATTAGTCATTCCAAAGCTCCTTCCTGCTGTTTTTAACAGAACCTTTAGCAGACTATATTAATTTTTGATGCTTTCCCCCACTAAGTGTTGCTACATGTCCTGTTTACCCACCTTTCCCTGAGCCACCAGTTCCCTCTGGGCTGCTGAAGCTGACTTCACAAGGGCACTGGTAGCAGCTGCAATGGATTTAGCTGCTTCCAGGATCTGTTCTTCAAAATCCAGAGTCTCATCTGCTTGCTATAACCAAGAAAAAACAACGTTACACATTCACCTAAAAGCAATTGTACTTTCCAGACCGAGGACATATACAAAGACAAGAAGATTCTGGAACACATCAGTAAAGTCAGTAAGATCTAGAACATCATTTTCTGCAAAGGAGTTTTGTGTGGACTAAAGCTGGGAGTCAACATAAATATTAGAGCTTGCCCTTGTGCCTGCTCACACAAGATATTTAAACAAAGCCATCAACTTTCTAGTGCATGACCTCCACTAGAGCTACTCTAAACTACATTCAGAAGAGTGCAGGGCTGAAAAGAAATTCTTGTTTTTCCTATCAAGATTATCTCTGTAATGCCATAATAGTGGCTTCCAAGATTGCTAAACTAGGGAAAGCATTTTCTAAATACTTAAAGACTTAAGGCATTGAGAAAGAACAATGATAAATATGTGTTGTCTCATTCACCTGCAGTAAGGAATGTAAAGCAGATACCAAGCAAGAGCACAGATTTAGCAGCTTTTGGTGAGAGCTGTCACTGCACAGAAATGAGCTTTGTCCAGTTCAGTGATCTTGGACACAGGAAGTTCCAAAGCTCTGTCTGGAACACTTCAGCCATCCAAGTATGTCTTTGAACAAGCATTTGCAAAACCTCCTAATCAGGTTTCTTGCTATTTAAAATGTAAATTTATTGTTCTATAAAAAACTTTCCTGACTTTGAAATAATTTAAACAAATATTGAAAACATTTGCCCATCTAAGCATGTTTACTAGCTTTTGAACAGTTAACAAAATAGATAGAGATGAACAGTTATTGTTAGTTTAAACAGAACCAGGCCTGGGCCTTGTATTCTGATTGTTTTTTATATAAACAGAATGTATTTTGTTTGTGACTCAATCACAAGCTTACTGGAATCCAAGGCTGGATGACAAGCAGGGCTAGTGGCTACAGTATCAGGACATCCCATTTTGTGAGAGATAAGGCTTTTGAAATATTATATAGAATATATAGAATAAATAGGTTTATTCTAACTACAACCACAATGTTCTTGTGCCACACAACTAACTTCAGAAACACCAGCCAGGTGGGCCATGAGTTTAAAAACTGGGCACTCATTTGCAAGTCTAAGCACACCCATCTAAATTTCAGTCAGGTTTAGTTCTCCTGTTACTGCAGCTTGATGAAATAGTCAATTATAAAATAATAAAGGATAATGATAAGTTATTAGAAAATGACCCATCAAGCAGCACTCAGTCCTACAGCACTTCACTTCACTAAAAGTCCAGGAGATGAAACAATAGCATCCCCAGACACACCAGAAAAACGGAATCATCCAAAAATCAAAACTCATCTGTAGATAAAGATGTTTGGCACTTTAAAGTTTTTATTTTTTAAGAAAAGCCACCTAATCCACAGAAAACTATCTGTCTTGCCTTGCTATTGGGCTATTCCCATCAACTAAAGTATATGTCTTTGTAATAAAAGGAATTGCTTTGGAAAGTGAGCAAGTCATGTTCCACACACACTTTTGGCAGTGCTTGCAATGCCACATCATGACCATTGTTATGGCAAAGTACAATCACACTGGCCCTCTACAGGCCTCAATTTCATAAATAAAACTCTTATTTCAATCATGACATTGCCAGAGTGATTAAATGGAATCCAGTACAGTCTGCCAGAATTACTGTCCTTATTAAAACAGATGCATTATTCACTTTGATTTGACTAAAGAATGAAACAGAAATATCAACAAAAATACCACTGACTGACAGTAAATTGAGGAGACTCTTACTGCTCTTTTAAAAGACTGTTATTGCACTTCTACTTTTGTCCAAAACTTCTTATTATCAAGTTTTTAAATTCTCATTTCCAACATAAAATCTATTATGTGCATTACTGTTTATATATCAGCACAGTCAGGAATTCAGACTTAAATGAGTGAGAACTTCAATATCTGCTTATTTATTACAAAGGAAGTGTCAGTCTTTGTGACATTTAATAAAATGCTCATGGCCATAGTGTGATCTGCTGGACAGTAGTGAATGTGCTCAGATGGAATTCAATTTGTGAAAAAACAGCCACCAAAAAGATGCTGAACAAAAGCAGTTGTTTAAACTCAGTTCAGGGTAGTGAGTGGACTAAATATTGCACACAATTCCTAAGCAAAAAATCCTGCTTTTCAAAGAGAATGCCAAGAAATCCAGAGTGCCATTGTACAGTGGTGGATTAACTTCCTCTGTGGAGCAGCAGGTGAAGCTCAACAGGAGAGCAGACAGCTAAACCTTAGTATTTCATCTGATATACTAAGATGAAAAAATAAGATTTTTTCTGCCCTGTTTGCCAAATCACTTTCTTTCCAATTATACTGAAATCCAGGGCTTGGGAGATCAAGCCATAGGTCAAATTTCTCCAATTTCCAAGTCTTGCATGCTCTGACATCTCACAACTTTTTACTTCTGGAAAAAAAACCTCTTAACAGTTGATCCTTTCTGTGAAGGAATTAATTTTTATAGCAGCCTTACACATCAAATGCCTGTTGGCTTTTTATCTTTTCTAAGAAATCCTTCTTTTCTAGTCCTTCTCTGTGGTTTTCCCTTCACCATTCTCAGGTGTGCCCATGCCAGGGCTGGATACTCAATGGGGGCAGCACAATGCTCAGCCAGCACTGTGGCTGTGTTCCTGCCAGCTCTGCCCATTCCTCAGCAACAGGGACAGGCAGCAGCACAAGGCTGAGCACAGCAAAATGCCCTACAACAAAAGGAAATATTTCACCATTCCCATTGGTAAAATTTTGAGTGTGTCTCCTGGACTGTCTCAAGTTCACACTCACAAACAGCCTCACAACGGGTCAGTTCACAGCCTTCATGAATAAAGTTGAGAGCAAAGATGGCAGAAAACTGTGAGATTTTAGAGCAGGTTTCTCTACAAAACCAGATCTAGGACAAAAGGGATGAGCTTCTCCTTCCTCCAGCAGCCCCCATGAAGATCAGCATCTCATTTTCCTCAAATCTGAGCTAATATGCTGTTAATAACCATGTACAGCTATAGATAGATTGGAAAATTAAGTCACCAGAACAGACAAACATTAGACTCACTACAAAGTCTTTAGAATGGAATATCCTTAAAATGTTGATTGTGCCATTGAAAAGAAAACTAAAAAGATATGGTTTTGTATTGTATTTCAGCCATTTTTCTACAGCATCTGCATTATTAGGGGTAGCATAAATAAAGGCAGGGTTAATAGGAAAACAAATGAGCCCCCAATCTCATTGCAAAACAGTAGCAAAAATTACAAAAGACAAAACCACTTTATTTTCAAGCACCTCTAATTTTCTACTTTATAATGAGCAAACCAATATGAGTAAGTTACTGCACTGAGCAGTGGAAAGCACAACAAGAATCTCAGTGAAAGCTGCTGCTGCTCACTGTCACAAAGAGCCTGCACAACTCAGAACTCTCTCCAAGAGCAACTCTACTGCTAAAGGAGCACTCCATGTATGTATTTTATACCAGATTGGATTAGGAGCCTACAGGAAGTCTTCTAAACCTGCTTGTGAGTGACTCCACTCCTTCACATTTCCTTCTACTAGGTTAAAACCCCCGGAGACAGGGCAGGACACTGTAGGAATATGTTTGATATATAGTTGGATTAAATAACAACCTAATATATCAAACATATCACACAGAGTCCTGCAGAAAAAGGCATCCAGGTTTGATTCATCTTGGGTTAAACAAAAACAAAGGACCAACTGCTGAAAGCTGCCAGCAGGGAACTCTTCCTGACTACAGGACCCCCATGTGTGGAGGCAGAGGCCTGCACAGAAGCTTGGAGAGCAGACAGAACAGGGCAGGGACAGCAATGCTCTCTCCTTTGCACCCCATCTACCATACCTTTTTACTTAAAAGTGGGTTTTCCTCACTATTACCATGAAGATTTTACTAGACCAAATAATTTTCTTCTTCAGAAAGTTACTAGTTGTGGGGGTTATTTTACAGGAAGTAGCAGGTTTGCATCACAGAAGGAATGTGTGTCTGCACTGCAATACAACTGACTCTCCAAATGGAAAACTGAAAAAAATCAGAGTCCACATTCAGGAAAAATAATTGTACTTAGAGGAAACATGACAGCCAACTCCTGCTTAATAGACCATAAAGATCTCAGTGCTTCTCAGATCATTTCCCACCATGAACACTGCAAGGAGAATACTGAACTGGTGTTGTGTTACAGACAGCAGTAAAAACAACTGCTCAGGAGAATCCTCAAAGTTCTTCCAAGATATGAGCTCAGAAGACACACAGATATTTACAGGGTGTCCCTGGGGCTGTGGACTAGGGGACTGAGCATGTTGGGAGCACATTCACCTGCAGCCAAACAGCCAGGGTTCAAACAAACAAAATAAGCACTGTACAATAAAGCACAGGCAGCAGTTAGCAGCACTGTGTCTCTTTAGAAATTCTCCTCTGGGATAAGATGATTCCCAGCAGCAGGAAATGAAGATGTCTCATGTATTTGTGTCAGTTTAAGACATCAGGGGGGTATGATAGGTGCAAAAATATGAAGAGGAAACAAGGGAAAGAAGAAGAAAAAATTCCAAAAGTTAAAAAAAAAAATAAAATGGTGAAACAAATGAGAAGAAATCCTACCTTCAGCTATTTGGGGTTTTTTTAGAGCTAAAAGACAAACTGGAACACAAAGATCAAAATTTCAAGCTGAAATCAAATTACTCCCATTCCCTGCACTAATAAAACAACTTCAGAAAAAACAGAGAATCAGCCACCAAGCAGTAATGATGAAGATGATGGATTTCCTGCAGGTAGACATTCTAAAATTACCAACTGAGGACTCTGCAAGTTCACTTGGGGATGATTGCTGCTAACCAAAGCAGGATTTTGTCTGGCTAGTCTGTTCCATTGTAGAAAATAACTCCTATTCCTGCCTTTCACAGACTGAGCACAAGACAGAGCAGCCCTTCCCTGGTCTAAGCATTCCTACTCAACACCCTGGGTGTTGTCAAAGATGGGCTTTAGGGAGACACAGCCTGCTCAGCACAGGAAATCCTGCTCTGGGAGGATACAATCTGCAAGTCTGCAGCACAAAAAGTGCTGTTTGAGCCACTCTGTGCTCTTCCTGGAGCTTTTGATGTGGATTATAATCATTGTGAAAGAGATTAAACACATCTGAAAAGGATGCAAAGGCTGCTGAAATCCCAAATCAAACAAACAGCTGGATATGAATTTGAGTTTCAGAAAATGACAAACAAACCAGTAAGTCACAAGGAGACTGGATACTCAAATTAACATGTTAAATGATGAGCAGGTGTGAGAACTGGGAAATTCACTGGGAGATTACAATGACCCTGGAGGGGCTGAGATGTTGGAAGGAAACTGCTCCATGGCTCCCAGGCAACACACACGTGCTATTGTGCAGTGACTGCACAGAAAAGGTGATGGAGGACTTCTCCACTCACACTCAGCCTCTGCAATCTCATTAGAAAGGACCATTTTTCTTTATAAACAAAATGGATGTACTTGTTAAAAAATGCAGACAAAGAGCTTTTTTTCTTTCCATGAGCTAATTTATTCCTATCACTGAACAGGGAGTGGGGGGTGAGAGGTCCTCAAAGGCTGAAGCTTCCAAGAACTATTTCATCTGATGCTCCTAAATAACAAAATACTACCTTGCACCAATACAATCATCCAGCACTGAATGAATGGTCTTGAGGCTCTGCTTTTTAGAAAGAGTTCTCATTAGCTTTACTTTGAAAACAGATTTGCACCTACAAAGCAGCATAAAGAGGAAAATAGATACATAGTCCTTTCCTGACATCAATTTCACAGCCAAAACATGTTTTTCATTTTAAAGAGATGCAACATAGTCATTCCTACTAAAACCTGCCTGTTAACACCAGGCAACAGGCAGCAATTCTCTGGAATGCACCAGTTTCATATATTCCCTCTGTACTGCATGTGAAAATAGTTGGCTTAATTTTATAATATCCTCAGAGACACATTTGAAAGGACCTGGCAACATGCAACACTACTTGATATCACAATGAACTGGAATTTGATTTCCTTCAGGAAAATGACATAGAAATGATCATACAATGTATCTGATTCTATACTGAAACAGCTACTCTCTAAGCAGGGCAGAAAATGCTGGTTTTAGTCTTAGAAAATCCTGCAGGTCCTTTGCATTCTCCTGAATCCCAACTGTGTTACTGCTGCTTTCTCCTGCTACACC